AAGGCAGAACATCACCAGTGAAGTGACTTGCTGCCCTGAGCCACTGCCATGCTGTTTCTGATGACACATATATCTAAAAAATGGAGAACCCCGTGGCACCCTGTTTCTCTAGGCAGCTCACACCCACATCAAAGTGTTGGGTGGATGCAGCTGACTGACAGACCCTAGGTCACACGTTAGCACCCAAGCTCAAGGGAGGCTGGGAGTCACAGGGTTGGTTTATCTGTTTTTCTCTCTCCAGGGGAGGCAAGATTCATAGCCTAGGGATCTGCTACAATGTAAGGAAGCTGTCTAAAGTGGGCAGCCACACATGACAAGTGTCTGCTACAAAAATGTTTCATGAAAACTGCAGTAAGCAAATTGTGTAAGCTGTTCGGCCTCTACTATTAAGAAATACATGCAGCAAAAAGATTGTAAGAAAATACACAGACACGTTAATTCTGATTGTCTTTATGTTGGATTGTGGGTAATATTTTTCTTATGTTGTGTTTTCAAATTTTTCCATAATGAAACTATTTCCTTGTAAATTAGAAAAAAGAGACCTTTCCATTTAAGAACGGCAGATAAAAATAATTACTGCCTTCCTACATGGATGAAAAATCTTAAAATTCCTTATTATATTTGATAATTTCTCTTTGTAAAACAGGCAAATGATAAATAAAACAAAAAGCAAAATCCAAAGCCAAAAAGTTACTCGTCTAAATTGATGTTAAAATTTCCTGTGGCTTAGGCTAAGTGTGTACAGTAGCTGCTGATCACATCAGGGTCACGGTTTTGAAATCTGAGGGGGCCTCAGATAACTTTACCTCAACTTTATAGCATTCATCTCAATTTGAGTTTCAAAAAACACAACCATACATGATATATACACATATTCATGCACATTTACCTGATTTCTATCTTTCCTAGTAGACACAAAAGCAGGGCTGTGACTCCTCAGTGCCCACCACACTGTAGTCACGTAGTAGGTATTTACCAGTTACCTGTAATGGATGTTAATGGTGAAATTACAAAGGAAGGGACCATTGTCTCTAACTGCAAAGTCTTCCAGTTCTACCAGCTGACTGGCCCTCACTGAGATTGCTGTTGACTGCATGGGATGTCATTGTGCGGCTCCCTACGCCTTACTGGGATATCAGAAATTCTAGAGCTCTCTTAAGCTCATCTGTTTACATGTCCCTTGGAGACCTTTTTGCAGCTCCTTACCCTTGTGGGACACAAGAAAAGTGGGGGTTCTACAATCCTCTAAGCCCTACTTTGGAGGGAGAGCACAGGTCTCTTGCTCTCAGGTCTTCCTACCCATCTTGGAGTTCTCTTTTCAGCTGCCTTTCTGGACCTGACCTACAGCACACCAACTATTTTCAAGGGCTCAGCAGTTTCTAATTGTTTTACCTGCCGTCTGACCCTCTCCCCTTCCCCTGGTCTAAAGAACGATCTCTTTCTCACCTGCCAGCAGGAAGAATGCTCACCCACTCATCGTTCATATGTTCCTCCAGATCCTTTCTCTTTAGCCTTGGCCTTTCCTTTAAAAAGTCAAAAGGCAGGTGTTTGACTCATATTCTCTTTAGTCCTCTTTTTTCTGAAGCAGTGTATGCTGCTGGCTGAGTGGGGAAAATGTGAAAATTTGGAGAAAAATAATCCTTAATTAATAGCTCAAAAGTATCATCTTCCCCATTTCTACAAAAGGTGGACTTTTGTAGGGAATGAAATGAACCATAGCGTTTCCAGATTTCCAGAGTCATTCTCTGACTTTTGTCAGTTCACTGATTCTAGAAAGAAAGAAAGCATGTAACTTGGGAAGTTTGCAAAATGAGTACGTCTCCAGGGAATGCCTTGTCTTGCTACTGTCATGAAGTTTCTCCCAAACAGTTCAGGCTGTGATAAAATAAATATCTGTCATGTTATTTAGGGGTGACAGGCTGAGAATCACTGAGCAAGTGACAAGCTGTCCTTGACTTGGTAAGTTTTCATGCTGTCTTAGGCTGATATGGATCTCGTATTAAGTGATATGTAATGAGGGTCTCCTCCGTCAGCTCAGTGACATGATTTCAGGCAAGGACGGTGAATGTCTCCGCGTCAGCTAGAGATGATTATAACAGATATCACCTGTCTTAATAGCCCTACCTTCATCTGCTACACTGTGGGCAAATAAGATTGTATGCTTTATCATCAGGGTGCCAGACGGGGCTCAGGTAGCTACAATTTATATGTAAAATCTCATGCTCTGCTGCACAATAGTTGGTGTTTGCAAGGAAAAATAAGTATCTTGAAGATTTTTATAGCATTTGTTCCTTCACAGCAAGAAAATATTGCAAGTTTGTAAGACTTTATATTGTCATGCTTAACCACTGTGACTTTTATAACTGCATGCTAGCTGGGGTACAGTAAATTACCGAAAAAGCTCCATGAGGATGTCATTGTGCTTTGCCTGCTGCTTTGTAATCTTCAGCAGTTACAAAAAAACATAGTCTCGTTTGTCATTTCAAGCTTCTTTGGGCGTACTAGCAGTCTGAAATGCCACTCCTCATAACATTAGGTCATTTTCAACCAAGTTCTTGATAGAACAGTCTTTCTACAGAATGTTCCCAAGCAAGCGTTTTTCTAGAATCGACTTCTTATTAAGTAGGATCCTAATAGGGTGTTTAAAACCAATGTGAAAACACCTGTTGGGGGAAGGGAGCCAAGTGTTCCAGCCTTCTATAGTGCAGTCAGATTTAAAGACACCTGTGAATGGCCTCGTGGAGTCCTTGCCGGTGAGGCTCCTGACGCACAGCTGCCCTTTCTCATGCAAATTGGGCTGCTCTTTGTGGAAGCGGCCAGCGCCTGCTGATGGTTGTCTTTTGGGGATGGGAGTTCACAATGTGAAGACCAAGGAGGACATTTAAAGTGAAGAAAATATTAAAGGACTCAAGTTTTAGGGTAAGTGACCTCCCAGTAATGGTCATCTTGCATTAGAAGGTTTTCCTCATGAGATTTTTAGAGAATGGACACTTAACTCAGCTTTTATTGCTCTGGGGAAAAATGTCAAATGTTCCCCAACTCCGGAGCAGGCTAAGGGTACTTTCTACGTTTTTCTGCTTAAGCTCTTAGCTTCTGGGACAGATTTCCTAACTAAGAATGGTAATAAATTTTCTTTTAATTGTATTCTTTCACTGAAAAATGGGATATGCTGACTGAAGTATCAAAACTTCTAGACCCTGAATATGAAACACGAAGAAAGCTCTACCGGTGGTAATGCCTGAGGAAACGATGGTTCTTCCATCGTAAAACAGTGGGAGAGGCTTGTTTGAATCAGTGAAAAGTTAATAGTACAATCACATTTTTTAAAATAGTAGAAGCTCTTCTCTTCAATGTGATCGGAGCTGGTACTTGGCTAAAAAAAAGGAAACAATTTTAAAATAAAACGACATTAATTAAAACATTTACATCAACTTAAAATATATCATTGTATGTTTTTTTTCCCCAGGTTTTGGCTGTATAGCCAACATCTAATGTCCTCTGGTTAGAGACTCCTTCATCTTTTTTGCATAAACTACACCCATAAGATATATATTATTTTTATATTATTTTTAGAACCTGGTTTTCCAGGTTTATCTTCCGTAACACACTGAATTCAGAATACTAGATTTTCACATTTTTAACCTTTTTTAGAACTGTCTTGTAGGTTACTTGATAGCTTTTTATTTTTGCAACTTGTCATTTTCAAGTTTTTTGGTAACCATTTGACTTAGTTTTCCTAGCGAAGATAACTCTTAATGCTCATTCTTCATCCATTTATGTTATATTGAAGTCATACATTGACAGTGATGAGCACAACTGGCATTAACAGGCTTGGGAATGAACACAATGACTTGAGTAAGTACACATCTCAACTGGGAGGGCAGAAGTCCGTGGGCATGCCAGGGAGAGCTTACTAGCTGGAGGCATTCCCTGTGGCAAGGGCATCTGCCAGCATTTGTTAGAAAGGACTGGAGAATGAGGGTTAATCTGTGCGTTGGTTAAAGGGCCTAAAGGGATTTTCTAGTATGATACATTTTTGTTGGTATGCATAGTAGCAACTCTAAAGAAGATTTTTGTAAAATGTTTTCTAGTGCAGGTCCTGCACAACTTGTCTTAATGAACTGCCGGTGTTTACTTATAATCAGCAGACTCTGTCTGCAAACATAATTGGTGTTCTGAAGTATTTTTTTCCAACAGTCTAGTTTACACTTTGGTACTATAATTGATTTGTTCATCAGACTCTTTTTCTTAGATGGGAAGAGATAATGTTTTGATTTACTCATAGAGTTATCACAATTTTTAAATTAATGACTTGGGAATTTAATGAGCTCTTCTTTCATTTATACATGCTAGACATACTAAATATCTCTGTTAATGTTTTTAGTTAATTTTTTGTTTTGAATACTTGTAGTAATGTATGATATGCCACGAATAGTTTTAAAAAGAAAATAAATAGATATTTCTCTTATTGGTATTGTCGATATATTTGGAAAATGTTACAGCTGAGAGAGAAGCATGCCTGTGAATGTGTGTAAATACACACAGAGGCAAAGAGACACAAAGAGGCAGAGACAGAAGGAAAGAGATAGGCAAAGAAAGAATAAGATACAGGGAGACAGAGTTATGGATTATGTGTGTGTGTGTATGAACACACACAGAAAGAGACAGACAGAAACAGATCACTATAAGAGAAACCAAGAGAGACTAAAACATCCAGAGAGGTGGAGGAAGGGCCACCACAGCAATGTTGCTCAAGATTAGTTCCAAGTCTGCCCTTAACAGAACAGTAGGGTACACAGATGTGGAGGTCAGAGGCCTTGGGGAAGCAGGACAGAAAAACAGGCTCAGGTCCCACCAGGAGACACAGTATCATAATAGGCAATATCAGATATGTGAGTAGGTCACAACCTAGGCATTAATTAGGTGGCTGTGCACCACTGGCTGATATTTGTTAAATGTGTTTTTCAGTTCTAAATGGTTTTAATTTTTTTTGCCTGCAGAAAGGTACTGAAGGAAGTCTCTGTTGGAGAACTAAATCCAAATGAAACTGTGCAGGCCAATTTGGAAGCCCGGCTCCTCTCCAAGCTGGATCACCCAGCCATTGTCAAGTTCCATGCAAGTTTTGTGGAGCAAGATAATTTCTGCATTATCACGGAGTACTGTGAGGTGAGACTCTCCTTTTCTCTTGGAAGTCTTTATAAAAATATGTTGCCTGGTAAAAAGCCTTCTGTAAAGAGATCTTAAAAGTGCAAGTATCAAAACATAAATTGAACTATAGAGACCTGGGATACCATGTCTTGCAGCTAGGAATGATTATCTCTAGATAACTGACAAAAGTTGTTTCTAAGGAAGGGTTTTCCTTCCGCTGGCAAACTAAGTAAAAACGACTATATTTTAAGGAGGAGGCCAGGAGTGGTGGCTCATACTTGTAATCCCAGCACTCACTTTGGGAGGTCAAAGTGAGAGAACTCGTAGTCCAGGAGTTCAAGACCAGCCTGGGAAACATAGTGAGACCCCTATCTCTAAAAAAAGAAAAAAAAAGAAAAAAAAAAAAAAGAAAATAGCAGGGCATGGTTCCATTAGCCTGTAGTCCCAGCTAGCCGAGAGACTGAGGCAAGAGGATTGCTTGAGCCTAGCAGTTCAAGGCTTCAGTGAACTGTGATTATGTCATTGCGCTCTAGCCTGGGCAGTGAGTAAGACCCTATCTCTGAGAAAAAAACAAAAAAAGAGAAATTGCTGCAGAAGAATTTTTCAACACTTTTTTTGACAGGGGGAGGGGCAAACCTAGATTGGTCTGATGCCTAGATGGACATTGAAATGCTCTAACAGATGCTTGGTTAGAGTAGAGGTGTATGTCCTGAGTTTTGGATTCTAGCTCTATGGTTTAATTTCTTCAGTGGAAGTTTAGAAATGGAAATAAGGCTTTTTTCCCCGCAAGTATTCCTCATATTTATCAATTTGTGGCTTACAGCTTCAGGTTTTACATTTTTTTCAACAACTCTGTGTTATATCCAAGTAATAGCTATGTATCTTACTGAGCCCCAAGAGAGTATGAAACTGCTTGGAAAGGTAAGAGAGGGAAAATGGACAATATGTAGCTGCAGTGTGGATCTGTTTGTTTACTCCTGAGAGGTTACAGAGAGGGGATTGACAGAGGTTGGGTCAGGTAGAGAATAACCAAAGATGACTATGCTCAAAAAGTATCTCCCAGAATATTGTGGAAGCTAGGGTTAGCCACATGCACCTTGGGAGAGTTTGGTACTGTTCATACTTTAGGATGAATTTACTCAGCTCATCACTCGGATGTTGCTGGAGCTCAAAAGACATGATGCTCGGGAGGAAAAAAGATGCTCTTTAAAGTAGAAGGCAGTCTTATTTGGGTCAGAAACTTTGAATGTGCCATTTGTTTGAGAGAAAGAAAAGAGACAGGAGAAAGAAAAGAAGCTCAGAAGGAAAAGGAATAGCAGCAAAAACAACCTTGTCTGCTCTGCACATTAGCTGATGAAATGAAACCCCAAATGAAACTAATAGCCAAGTTAAAATATCTGAACAAGTTTGAAAGATTCCATGTCTTGGCCATTCCCCTGCAGATCAGCTTCAGCCTTGCTGGGTATTTTCCCATCTATGTCTTGACCCTGCTGTGCTTGCAGGAAAGTGGACGGGGCTGAGGGTGAGTGGAGAAAAACTGGTTAGTTTGGGTATCTGCTTGTCTTTCATCCAATGGATTGTTGAGAAAATCAGTAAGATGATGACAGGTGCCATCAGTGATATTGAATAGTTACTCTGGCAAATACATCACCAATTCATGCAAAACTACAGATACTTGCATATGCATATTTTGGATACTATGATCCACCTGCTATCGTTTGGTCATATTTCTTCTTCAGCCTCCTTTAGATAATCAACTGTATTGTTTTAGAAACAACTGACTCCTACTGCTTATAACTATTACTGCTACCTCTACTGCTGCTTTTAGGACATTGATTTTTTCCAAAGACTCTTTCCAAATCTTAGAACGTTTTGAACTGCAGTCAGCACTATTCCATAGGACTTTCTGTGCTGACGGCAATGGGCTGTAGTTGTGCTATTATAGTAGCCACTGGCCATATACATGGCTCTTTAGCACTTGAAATGCGGATAGTGCAATTGACGATCTGGATGTTAAATTTTGTTTAAATTTAATTAGTTTAAATTTAACCATATGTGGTACCGTATTATACATACATGGTATATGTTGCTATAACTTTCTTTCCCTGTATTAATTGAAAAGTATTTATAATTTTAATGTAATTTTAAGCTACGAGAAATGTTACAAGAATAACACAGTGACCTTCCATATGCCCTTTATCCAGATTCCCCAATTGTTATTTTTCTACATTTGCTTTATCTGCCTACATTTTTTAGTGATCATTTGAGAGTAAGTTTCAGACATGATGCGTTTCTGTCCTAAATATAATACAGCTGTGAGTATTTTCTAAGACCAAGGACATTCTTTTACATACGCATAGTACAGTAATCAAAATCGGGAAATCAACACTGATACAATCCTAGTATGTAACCCAGTGGTTCTCAAAGTGTGACCCCAGAGCATTACGGTCAGCATCTCTAGGGAACTTGCTAGAAATACTAATTCTTTGCCTCTACCCCAGCCACATTGAATCAGAAGTTCTGAGGGTGGGGTTCTGGCAATCTGTGTTTTGTTAAGCCTGCCAAATGAGGCTGAAGCATGCTGAATTTTGAGAACCACTCTTCTAATTCACAGTCTATATTGTCTGATTTACATCCTTAGAAAGGGCAGTTCTATAAGATTTTTGTTGTTGTTGCACACAATCTCATCCGGAATCATCTGTGTTAATTTTTAAATGATGGGTAGTTTCAGTGGGCTGAGCTGTTCTCCCGGGAGGGGCCGTTGCCGTGGTGACGGCTGGCAGTGCTGAGAGACAGCTGTGGGGCCGCCTGGGCTCTGTGCGCCACTGAGCTGGCAGGTTGCCATTTCCCTGACTCCTGAGGAATGATTTGCACAGATTGCTCTGTTCTTGTTAACAGAGATATTTCTCATCTTCATACTCAAATTTACTCTTAACTTGCACAGGGCTGGTGTTATCTTCTTTTTATTAAGGTAAAATAATAGTATAGGAAATGGCAGGTGACCAAAATTGCACCTCATAGAAAAATGTTGTCACCACCATTGAAATGGCTGATCTCTTTATCTCCAAGTTCCCTCTTCTATGATTTCATTTGGGGCCTTTCAAGACTGAAATACATAAATGCATTAGAGTCCTCTGCATCTGCTACCCAACCCTTTGGACACATACACTAGATTATGACTGTAAAATAGCAGACAAATGAACTTTCGTAATTTCTGGTCAAGATTTAACCAAATCTTTGATGGGGAGTAGTTCCAAAACTACCAGAATGGCAGAATATTTCAAATATTAATGTCTTCTCTTCTCCTTCACATAGGAAGGAAATGGAACTACTGCCCATCCTCCACAGTTTCACACCTTTTCATCTTTGCTTAGGCCATGTCCTCTGAGAATGCCCTTCTTCCTACTCCCACATCTTCAGATCTTACCCTGACTCCTCAAATTACTGGCCACTGCCAGAACATCAGGAGTGTGCCTACACCTGGCTCAGGGGTGATATAATACATATCCTGAAAAAGTGACTGCAGGATACCCTCAACTGTGAGAACCAGGAGAAAGCAGGAATCTCCACTAACACCGAACACAACTTCTCTCTGCTTTTCCACCTTCAAAGCTGGGGTAGGATACCTCCTTCCACAGTCATATTTACTGCCACCTCCTCTCCCATAATCAAAGGTTCCAATAAACAAGGTTCCTTTCCCATAAAGCCTTTCATAATTTCCTGGCTGGAAATCACTCCCCACCCCAGTCGCAATCCCCCCAACTCTCATAGTATCTTTATCTCTCGTGGTATAAACCACAATTTACATCCTATGAACCATGTCAGACTCTCGGCGTGTGGGATAGATCTTTTTTTGATTCATTTTTTTTTAAATCACATCATGGACCCACATAGTGAACCACAAAGAAGTTAGCTCTCAAGACATTTTTTAAATGAATTCTTTACCTTCTGCTTCCAGCAGCCTCCCACCTCATTTCTGTCAGACACTGATGGTAATGATAAAATATTGGATCCTTCCACCTGTTTTATATGTTAGAAGTATTTTGTCCTACCTTTAGTGTTGATATGCCTACCAATGCGCTGTACTGGAGACCTGTGAGATCCTGCCGGAAAACCTAAAGACAAGGCATCTCCAGAAACCTGGGCATTACATGAGTAGACATACTAGAGAATAGGTGAGGTCACATATCTTCAAGAGAGGGTGGCGGTAGTGGTGGCAGTACAGAGAATAGATGATATCAGGGAAAAAGGCAGAAAATGTTGGACTTGCCTTTTTTCTGCTTGGTGACATTAATATAGGTAAACAACGACTCTATCAATATAGTGCTAGTTCTTAACATTGGCTGCATCTTAGAATCACCTGGAGAGCCATCAGAAATCCTGAGGCCTGAGGCCCACCTCTAGAAAGTGATTTAGTTGATCCTCCGGAATGGCTGAGGCATAAGGTTTTTTTTTTTTTTTTTTTTTTTTTTTTTTTTTTTTTTTTTTGAGACGGAGTTTCACTCTTGTTACCCAGGCTGGAGTGCAATGGCGCGATCTCGGCTCACCGCAACCTCCGCCTCCTGGGTTCAGGCAATTCTCCTGCCTCAGCCTCCTGAGTAGCTGGGATTACAGGCACGCACCACCATGCCCAGCTAATTTTTTGTATTTTGAGTAGAGACGGGGTTTCACCATGTTGACCAGGATGGTCTCGATCTCTTGACCTCGTGATCCACCCGCCTCGGCCTCCCAAAGTGCTGGGATTACAGGCTTGAGCCACCGCGCCCGGCTAAGGTTTTTTGTTTGTTTGTTTGTTTGTTTAATCTGTAGGCTAGAAGCCCAAGCTGATGTTTATTCATTCATTTGGTAGTGCTAGAAACTGGCAACTCTGGGCTAAATCTAGCCCATAGACCTAAATCTATGTTTTCCTTAACCTTCACAATCTTTAAAAATCAGAGCCCTTCACATAAGTCTACATTTTCAGCTGCTTCTCGCAGGAATGCTCCTTCAAAGGGTATGTGCACCCGTGTGTCCACCGC